ATATGCAACATTTCCATTGCAGCGTTAACAAAATCAAAGCAAACTGCTCAAAAACTCAACAAATTTGCTGACCCCCCTCCCCCCCACCTCTATAGCTGAAGACGTTGTTGTCCAATTGGCGGCGAAGAGAGGCAGACAGAGGGCAGAGGCAAGCGTAGACGTAGACGAAGACGAAGCTGGTGGTGATGCTGAATCTGATGCTGATGCTGATGCTGAGGTCTACGGTGGCGTATGAGTAATTCTGTTGAAGGGGCCAAAAAGGCCAAAGGTTGCCTCTTCGACTGACTGGCAGCAGGGCAAATAAATCAAATAAATAATAAATGAAACGAAACGAATCAAATGCGAAATAAAAATCAATGGCACTCAGCACTTCAATGAATTGGAATACATACACAGATACACACGCAGCCGTACAAATACACACATACACACATAGTCTGTGTGTGTGTGTGTGTATGCAATTTGCTTTTCGGTTTGATTTCAAATAAAATTTTGCTTCATTGAATCGAATTGAAGCAGCAAAAATGAACGTGCGGTAGATTGGGGCGTTGTTGCACGTTTATTATAACGCACACACACACACACACACACACACACACACACATACACACACACACACATACACACACACACACACAGCAAATGAGCGCCATATGCTGGCCGTCAATGCCATCGCCATCCCGAACATGGCTACCATGGCATTTGGTCAATTGCAATTAGAAGTCGCTGCGAAGTGCCTGCAACTGTACAATAAAAATGCAGCTGTGCAGGCACACACACACACACACACACACACAATCACACTCATACACGTACACGGACATGGACACTTACGCACAGAGACTGACCCAAATATCGTACATTATATACACATGTATATACACATGCATGTATTTATATACACACGCATATGTGCTGCTATTTATTGTGCAGAACGACGTCGACGACGAGAAATTGCAGCACTTGAAAAGTTGAAAATGTTTGAAGAAGTTCGAAACGCAAAAGTTCGAGGAACGGCAACAAACTGCAGCGGCAACTGTTTGTCGTTTGGCCAGTCAACAACAACGTCTCCCACTCCCGCCCCTCATCACTTTCACAACGACCCCCATTCGACAGGGCAGCCCCTCGCACCTGCCACTCACCATGCCAGAAATAATTAGTGCAAACAATTGCGCCATTTCGCGTTATCCTTGGGCAGTTGCTTTTCATTACGACGCTGCCGATGCCGATGCCGACTCTCGACCCTCGACACCCGCTGCTGGGGCGGCAATCGCTGCGGCATTTTGTTTCAAGGTTCTGGTCTGGTTTTGCGCCTTGTCAACGCCCAAGCCGGATCCATTCGGCTCCATCCAATCCCACTCCTGTTGCCCAGTTCTTCGCACGCATCATGCAGCCGGCAGAAATATGAAGAATTTTCATGCTAAATTGGCAAACTTGAAACAGGATATTGGTTCATTGTGTTCTGCTCTTTTTCGTTCCCCGCCCCCCCCCCCCCCCCCCCTTCTCTCTCATTCTGCCCTTTCCCTCCCCCACTCTGCTGCTATTTCTCGCGCTTCGCTTTGCAGTACTTTCGAGCGATGGCATTGAAAGCGCCACCAAGATGCGCAACGTTGCCATAGTTTCCTCCACTTTTGGTTATTATTATTTCCTATTTTTCCTCTTCATTCTTTTAGTTTGAGTTTCTTCATTTTTTTGTGCTCATTAAACGAAAACATTTTCCGTGTCGTTTTTTTCCTGTTTGGATTTTTTGGGCGGCTGCGCGTGTTTCGTCTTTGATTTGTTACTAGGCCGCAGCTGCCAGTGCCACATTCTTATACATATATTTGTTTATACATGTACATATGTATGTACGAGTATGTATGTATGTATGTATGTATATAGGGGAGCAAATAATGTGGCACATAAAAAGGCGTATTGCTTTGTATCAGATGTCGCTATAAACATTTTGTAGCCCACTTTTGGGCTGACGGCATGCAAATGAAAACGTTTTACGAAACACAAGGCCGCAACGAACAATTTCTGGGCTTACATGACTTACTCTACAATATACATAGTTATAGGTATACTTTACTGTTTGCATTAAAAAGTTGAAGTCAACAATTTACTTGAAATTCGAAGCAGCCTTGAAGACTTATTACATTTCGTATGTATTGCTGTTATTGCTATGCTTGGATAAAGGACTGCTGATAATGATGCGCAGGTCCTCCAAAGTCAAACATCGAATTATTTATTGAGCATGAAATTAATTTATTTCATTTAAAATGAAAATAGTTATCACTTAAGGTTGTTTAATACTTTTAAATGAATTGAGAATCTTCTGAAATGTGAAAACGTCGGTTGCTTACATTACTGATGTTGTTTCGTTCAATATTTGTACGTGTATATCGATGGATAGCCATTAAAATGTACACACAAAATTTGACCTTTTTGAACGTTTGTGCAATGTTAAGGTATACCTAAGTGTTGTGACTTAATACTTTACGAAATATATTGATTGGTCATCGTTTAACACATATACCTGTATGTAAATAGAAAACAGACTATTCTAGGGAGAGCTAGAAAGCTGTTTAGAGCACTACATGAGCCATTATCCATGTGGTGTTATACATATATCGACCATATCTATTTATAAGCACATGCGAAACAGATAAATTATTGACAATTAGTTTAAGATTCAATGCTCGCAACTGTGTCAAATAAATCAAATGATGTATTGGTATGTCCATTTGCTATGCAATCTGTCTTTGTTACCTTGATGGCCCCGAAAAAATGCATGCTCCCTTTGTACATAACACACACAGACAGGCAGACAGACAGAGAGACAGAGAGACACACTCGTAAATGAAATATATGTTTTACGATTACTTTAGCAAACCATAAACAACCCAATTGCGCGCGCCCATAATAATAATATTTGCCTTTCAGCTGTGAAAAATATCGCATTTTTAATCAAAAGAAAATAAAAAGAAAGCAAAAATTGAAAATGAAAACGAAAGCAGAAAAAACAAAAATCACCCTGCGGCTGAATCGACAAACATACGTACTCGTGCATACATACACACATATCTCTATAAACATATGCATGTGCGTATTACATTCAAATGCACGTGTATGTATGTACGTATGTATGTATGTTTGTTTGTATATACTACATACCTACACCCACACTATATTTATATATATTTGTGTGTGGCAGCAGTCGCAATGCTTTCCGCCGAATGAAAATATTTACAAGTTTCACATTTTCTGTTTGTTCAATAAATAAAGTCAATTATATTTAAATATATATACATACATAAACGGTATAGTACGCAAACGAAACACGAATTTCTTTAATATATCGAAGATGTTCACATTTTTTCTACAATTATTCAATATACCAGAACACTCCACATTTTGTAATTGCATGATTTCATTAACTGTTAGCCTTGTTCGCCTTAGTAGGGCTGCTGAGCGCCGATAAGGTTGCTCATCGGTAGCGCATGTAATCGATAAACAGAGTTATCTATTGGCACACGTGAATGGCCGATCAATCGCTCTCTCTATCGCTCACATACGAGTATACTGCCGTCATGAATATGCACGATCGCGTACTCGCCAGCCAAACCATGCACATTTTTATTTATAGTCTTCACACTCTTCGCATCCGTCCACGTGACCTCTTTAATAGACAATGAGCTCATAATTCCTGCCACTCACACACATCTGCTTAATCGACTCATCCCTGGCCTAGACTCTGTTCCCAAAGACTCATGTCGTTTGCTACTTTGGGGCTTCCCCGGACAAACTGGCCAACTCTTTTCTACACCAGCCTCCTCCCTAAAGTAAACTTTAACGAAATTCCTGCCAAAATAGAATTGACACACTTTTAGCCAAATGCCCACCAATACTAGATAATTTATTTGAGATTGGTGTGGGAGAACAATATTATTATTATTAAATTAATCAGATAGCCACCACAATAAGCAGATGACAGCAGATTTCCAACGAAGAGCGCGTAAAATAATGCTAGAAGTTCTTCTATTCACAGCAGAATTGTAATACATACATACTATGTATATATGTATAGTTCGATTTTGGACAATAGGAGTGTAGTTTTCTTCTACTTTGGCAGAAGTTTAGTTAATTTGCGTACTGACCGCAGAGCCCTGTAAATAAAAGAATTACAAGTTGTATAGAATTTATGGGAACAATCTCAAAAAATGTTGTTAGTATTTTGCATCTTCTCCCGCCACAAATGCTAGTATGCGTTCCACACACGCACACATTCATATATAGTGTATAGAAGAGCAGAGTTAACTTCAAGAATCAGCTGTAATATGTTCATGGTATGTTAGACACACACCCATCAACACACAACAAGCTCCTTTCTCATCTCAAAGGCTCATTTCATGCCCACTTTTTATTCAATTTTCACTCATCCGCTCTCCTTTTCTCTCACTCTATATCTCTCTCACGCACACATACAGACACACCAACAGTTTTTCTAGATGTATTTGTACTTCTATAAATAAACAAAATATATAAATATATAGCCGTATTTATATATGAATATCGTTAAATTTATGCATACATTTTATTTGTACGAGTATTAGACAAAACGCAAAACCAAACAAAACAAAATGTTAAGCAAAATTGTTTACTCTTGAAATGTTACTTAATATTCTATTATATACATATTTACATAGAACTCGATGTTTTTACTTTACATTTAATGTTTAATTTCCGAACAACAACAACAACCACAACTACAATCAAAACAAACAACTACAACAATAATAATAACAATAACAACAACAACAACAACAAAAGCAGCAACAATCATGTTGATAAGTGAAGAAAACTGCAAAGTGTACCAAGTAACTAACAAGGCATCTTTTTCTTTTATAAAACAAACACAAACTTCCCAACGCTCTCGATGACGACGCTGCTCACCATGATGATGACGTTGATGACTATGATGATGATGATGTCTGTCTGTCTGTCTGCCTGTCCCACAGTCGTGTCTCGGTAATGAGAGGTCAGGTCATCACGCCCCAAGGTCTTGGAATTGTCGGCATACGCGTCTCTGTGGATCGGGACTCGCGCTTTGGATTCACGCTAACACGCCAGGGTGGCTGGTAAGTTGGAAAAAGCCATATATTATACTATATATACATATTTCCATACAGATATACTATAAGTATTTAGCGTCTTAAGGGCTACACCTATTTTTAATGTTGTTTTAATTAATTTTGAAGACGGCGCACGCAAATTCAATTATTTACGTATGAGTAATTTTTCATAACTCTCCACGGCTGAATGTCGCCCAAAAAACTTAACTGTTGATTAAATTTCAAGTCGAAGTTGTGAAGTGGCGACCATCCAGCCATCCATCCATCCATCCATCCAGCCAGCCAGCCAGTAAGCCAGGCTGACTGCCTAGCCAAAAAAAGAGAAAACCAAGTTATCACTTTTTAATTAAATTTTCACTTTGATGTCTTGGCTCATCGTCACTCTGGCAGTCTGTCAGTCAGCCAATCAGTCAGTTTGTCAGTCGGTTAGTCAGCGCTTTAGTCATTTTTCTCCTGCACTTTTACTTTTTGGCCTTTTTTGGGTTCTTCCTTAACTTACTTGGCGTGCTTAAAGTTTGGCTATTTTTACTTGGCTAAGTGGTTAGACAGCGACCAACTAATTGAAGGAGGGCAACCAAAGGGTTCTTTTTGTTCTCCTTTGTGGCAGATTTGGCTACGAAGACACGCTACAGTTTCTACCAAAGCCTGCTTTTCATACTTAGTTCATACTTAGTTCGACTGATTAGACACTCCCTTATAGTTTGTCTATATCTATTATTAGATTTTTATTCAAGAGATTCCAGTTTCTTAAAGCATGCGAACAAACTGGTTCCAACTGAGGAAAAGATCGTTTTCTAAACTAAAAGTGAAGTTGAAAAGAGTTCGTTCTGTTCACATGGGTACATGATATACTCGCATACTCGACTAAATACTACTTGTATTAGTATTTATTAACATGTTCGGGGAAATTTATTTCGCCTTGCTAAGGATTTTCCGGTTGCTTAGTCATTTTTATAGCTATGTCTTTACATTGTTTGGCCTTCTGCGCATCTAAGAACCAAAAATTGCTTTGGTATTGAGAATTCCAGTTGCTTCTAATTATATATTTACATATACATAATGTTCGTTCTTTTGGCTCCCACTTCTAGTGCTGGAAGAGAATGGATTTTCTTATACTTTGTAGCATCCATGTAGGCCCTTGAGCGGGTTACTTACTTTTCTATTTGTTAGCTTCTGAAGCCAAGCTGAAGATGTTTCTGTGTCTGTTTCACAGTGTCCTTTCTAATGCTCGAATCATATGCAAAATCTTGTAATAAGGAAATCTTGTCTTAAAGAAAACATATTATTTGTGTTGGGGTCTTCATCCAGCACACAAAAAGGCAAGCAACGACAGCATTAGCTCGGTGTTTTGGAAAGGACTTGAAGCAACAAATACAAATAGTTACCCAATAAATATACGGATCAATTTTTAACAACCAAATGGTTTTCGCTGTTGTATTCCAAAAATGTTTTCTCTGTGTGTAATAGAAATAAACTAGGAACATGTACATATGTATATATTTAAAAGCTGACAACGCACAACTAGGGACTAGCATTTGGTTTTCAATACCTGCTTAGTTTCACAAAACCTTTGCATTAAAAAAAAAAGCAACATCAAATCTTGCACATGTAGAATATGAAAGAACGGGGCTTCACTTGTGGGTTATCATCAAGCCCAGCTATATCTCTTTTATAGGGGATCCTGCTGTTAGACCAGGTCAGTAGCAAGTTTTTTGTTAGCGAACTCTCGCCCCCTCTCTTCCCTGGAGAAATCGAAGACTTTCCTTTATCAAACTGGCTGTTGCCATACTATTTAATTGCAACTATAAACAATAATAACATGAACGAAGAGTGTGTTGGAAACCAAAAGTTCTGGGCATACACATGTTTTGGAAATCATCTGTATGGATCGCCAGTGTTACGCAAGCCGCAGGCGTCTGATTGTCGGTACCGTCGTCACTAGCGATGTAACACTATAAGCAGAGGAGCGGAGGGTCGATGCTAAACAAGACGATGTAAGCAGATAACTTCTGCCAGTGATTGTCAGCCGCATTGAATGACTACAGCCATGACACCCTAGAATGGAAAGTGGAGGGGTTAGTCGACTGTACCCGAAAGAGCTCGATACAATTTACATTTGCACTATTTATTTTGCGAAATCCGAAAGAAGACCACCACCGATATTTGAATTGTAATCCAGATATTTAGGAAATTACCATATAACTGGTTGGATGTAGAAAATAATTAGCGAACTTTTCCCCCTCAAGTCCTCTTTAATCTATGGATGAGTACGATTAGTCGACTTTATTTTAGTGAGGGACCTTTGCGCCTGGCACTTACCTAGTATGCGGTAGATTTTGAAAAAATTCGAATTTTTTCATTGAAAATTTTGTGTTCTAAATTTTTTTTACGTTGTGCTCAGCTAGAGAGCTGCACGATAACTGAAAAAGTGTTTTACGAAAAATACTTGACTTTTCTATGAAAACAGAAACATAATTCACTGCCGTCCTTGTTTTCAAATGTGCGCATTTATTTCGAATATTCTCACTGCCATTTCCAAATCAATCCACACCAGTACTATACTCAATCGATTTACGGAGCTGGAGAACAGCTTCCAACAATTGCCGAACTAATGAACAAGTCTGGATAGTTTCTGCTAAATACGCGGACTTGTTGGATCAATTAAATAATGGCATTTATTCAAGCACTTAGCCCAAACAAACAATTTAGTTTGTACGCCTGCGAGACTCAGGCTCGCCTCATATCTATAAGTCGGAACCGTCCCAGTGGAGCGCCCTTGAGAATCATTCTACAAAAATACGAATCTTTTCGTGTATTCACGATAGTTCCTTATTCCAATAAGGCTCTTACTATACTACTACAAGTATATATGTATGTATATGGCTTACATACAAAACATTACAAGTATGTTCTGCCATTCTAGTTCGCATGAATCTGTAACTTTAAATTGATTTCCAATACTCTAGAATATCCTCGGGATGATGCTCCTAGTCCTATCCAATTGCTTGTTCCTAAAATGATTTCAATTTCTTTTCCTCAAATTATCAAATCCTTTCAATTAAAATTTCAAATGAACGCCCATCCCATTAAGAGAGAAGCTTACCAGTATTTTTACTGCAATTTATTTTTGATTTAATGCACACACACACACAGACACACACACACACATGCATACACTTGCATATGAACAATACAATATATCTAATATAAATATTTTTACAGTTGTTTTGGCAAAAAGGAAATCCGTTGTTTTTGCAATTGGCATTTTCTTTTCAGCTCCTTTTATTTGACTCTGGCTCAGCCTTCTCTGTTTTTGTTTTTAGCCAATTTAAATAAACATTTCGCACCCTGTGCGACAACAACAACAACAGCAACGTCGGCAGCAATGCACACAAATAAAATCTGTGCAATACACAAACTAACTGTCTGATGATTATTTGTGTTTACTTTCGCACACACACACTCACACACACACACACACTCACACACACACACATGCACATAGACAGACGGACTGGGAGAGACAGAGGACTCACACACATTTATATATGGTTGTATGAATGTACATTTATATATAAATACATATGACTACACTTGGGTGTTTTGTTTATTTCAATCTTAGGTACGCAGCCACACACCCACACACCCGCAAAGATATCTGTAAATCGACTTATCTAAACAAAAGGTACCCATGCACATACTTGTATGACTGTACACATACATAAACGAGTCTCTGTGTGTGTGTGTGGGGTGGGGTCCACGGCATTGTCCAGGGCTGCGCATCTCTCGTATCTTTTGGTGATTACATTTTTACCTCTAGTGCAATAATTTTTCATTAGCCCAGTGCCTTAATGCGAGACACACAGACCCAGCGCCAGCGCCAGCGCCAGTTAGCAGGCTACAGTTTTTTCTTCCCTTGGTTTGTACTCCTCCCCCATACATGTAGTACTACATATGTATGCTTGTGCAGCTACTTCTGTTTCACTTTTATACCCTTCTATTAAAGCGTACAAGTATATGTACATTGTACTTGCCATGAAAGTTGGCCAAACTGTAGAGTAAAGCAAATGGTGGAAATTCAACCCACAAGTGGGTAGAATTGTAGGCTAGCTTGGTGCGTAGCTGTTTCATTTTGCGCAACAGGAACGAATGGAAATCACGCTAGCACTCATTTAGCTGGAAATAGGGGAAGGAGTATTCGAAATCGCTGGATTATAAAATGTAGTGTGTGGAAAATATTTCTTAGCACGCATGGAGTTGAGCATTCTAGCTCGAATCAATGAATATCCATACGTATGTCTCACAAATTTCAAGGTCCATTAGATGAACTTTTATAAACAAATTTAATTTCTCTCACACATATATTCAAGACATTGGTATCCAGATAATAGCCGGTATACAAAACGATTGCTGCTAGGAGGACAATGCTTGGAAAATGCTGCTCCTGTATGCTCATTAAAGATCTTCTTGTCATAACTAACGATCCAAAAGCTTATCCCGATATTCCTGCATTTTAAGGAATATTGGAGAAGACTGTAAATAGTGTGCAACCTTTTCGATTTGCCAGAGAGCTGGCTAGCCATCAGCAGTGTGCAATTTTTTACTTATAATGCAAATACGCGAACTGGCGACAAAGGCTAGGACTGGGGCTTATGTGTATAGCATATGCATATACATACATATATGTACATATATGTTTGTTTATACACACACACACACATACAAACACATACAATGCGCCGACACAAACAATTATGAGGCAAACAAACATTCGTTGTCAGCGTCTGGACTTTGCTCACTTATTTATGTTTGTGCGTGTGCGTGTGTGTGTCTGTATTGGTGTGTGTGTGCACAACAACAAGTAGCCAGCCAAAACATAAAATCAAATATGTCCTGCACACATACATACTCGTGCGAGTATATGGCAACATAATTCTTTTGCTTCGCCCTGGCTACCAGCCAGCCTGGCAGGCAGGCAGGCAGGCAGGCAAGCAGGCCCAGTAAACTCATCCATGGCATAAATTTCTCATTCTTTTATTTATTTTTATTATGACTCTTTCTTATTTCTCTTCTTCTTCTTCGTGTTCTGCTCTCTGCTTTCTTCTTGCTGTTACTTTTATTTATCTCGCTTTGGTTGTCGTCAACGCTGTGTGTGCTGTTGTGGTTGTTGCTTTTTCTTTTGGACTTTAAAGTTTTGCACTGTCGTCCTCAATTGCTGTTGTTGCTGTTGTTATTATTATTGTTGTTGTTGGCCCGCTGTTAGCTGGCAATAATTCCTGTTTATGTTCACATTATTTTCGTGCCATATGAGAGACGAGGGCGGCGGGGGGGATAGCGGATCAAGCAAGGCGTGCGCCACAGTGCTGGACACAAATATTGAGAAAACAGTTAAGAAGAGGGGGAAAAAGAGTAGAGTAGTGGCTGTGAAAATCTTTAGTAATGCTTGTGATTCTGAATGAGAACCAACTTCATATTTCATTTAATTATAATGCCTTTCAGATTACGTATCCCTGCACTTCTCATCTTGCGCTATGTGCTCCAAATGTCAATTAAATAAATGGCAAACTACAATTCTAATTTCATTTAAATGAATAATATATGTGTATATAATTATATGTTTTGCATATTATACACACATGTTATAGTTCGTCTAAAAAGGCATTCGTCAGCGAGCTCGAAATGATAAAAAATACCTTGAAATTTGGGTTATTTGTACTGCCATTGTGTCCAAAGCCCTTCTCTGCACCTCTCACGCTCTAATATTTTGGCCTCCATTGTGCTGCAGGCGAATGCTGGTGAAGCTCTTTGCTGCTACGCGCTCAAAGGCGCAAGAAGTACGCGTATGTGACCCCATTACGCGAGCATAGCGCGCAACAACGCGTCCTTGCTGGCTTGTCCTGCTCCAGTATCTCAGGCTTGGCGCGGCACGACTGCCAGTTAGTTGCTACACATGTCGCATACTTTTCGGCGTTGCCGCCGACGCCACATGAAGCTTGTTAGTGGCCTTAATGTGTGTGGGTGTACATGTGTAAATGCTCGTATGTATAGGTGTGTGTGTGTGTTTGTGTGTGTGTGTGGGGGGAGGGGGTGTGAGCACGATTTTATGGTTTTGTATTTATAATGTTTATTTCAATTCTATGCTTTTATTAGCTTGCCACACTCACAACGCTCGCCCACACACACACACACACACACAACAGCATGCAGCGCCAATTGTTGCTGTTGGTGTAGCTTCTTGTTATTATTATTGTTGTTGTTGTTGTGGTTGCTGCTGATGTTTTTGCCACAAGTTGGCCTTTCTTCATGTGAACTGTTGCTGATTATTTCTGCTCTTACTGTCGTTGCTGTTGTTGTTGTTCCTGTCCCTGACATGCATTATGTGCTGGCTCGGCTGCTGCTATCGCTGTTGCTGCTGCTGTTGTTGTTGTTGTTGTTGTTATAGTAATAAAGGTAATAAAAGTCATTATATTGTGCTGCAGGGGATTATTGTTGGTATTTTTTATTACATATTATTATTATTATTATTATTAGAGCGCCCATGAATGCTGCCCTTTCGCTCATTGTGTATGTGTGTGTTTGTGTTTGTGTTTTCGGATTGTTGCCTTCGCTAAATGCCCGACATTTGCCACAGCAAAGAGCACAAAGCGGAAGAAAAAAGGCACCTACAATCCGACCAGCCGACCAACCAAACAATTCAATTACAATGAAAAAATGCGCGCCTCAATGTATGCAATGGCATTGGCGAATGGTCGACTCGCCGCTTGTTTCGTGCATGAATTTGACAACGGTGGCTGTAACGGTAATACCATCAACAACAGCAACAACAGCAACAATAACAACAAAGCCACCAACAATGAAACTCAACAAACGTGCCACCGTAAAATTAAATTAGCAAAAATTGTAACAAATTCCTTTTGTCATTTGGAACGTCAATTTGTGTGGCAGCCATGTATGTGTTTATGTGTGTGTGTGTGTGTGTGTGTGTATGTGTGGGCATGCATTAGCGTGCATGTTCAGCGAACTGTTGCACAGAATAAAAATATTTATTAGTATACTTATAGCCGACCTATTTTTCCCCATTTCGCCGCAGGCTGTAGTTGCTTTTTTTTCTTAATTAAATTTTCTGTTGTTCTGTTTTTCTGTTTTGTCTTTTTTTTTCGCTGTGACATTTAATTATTGGCATTTTCAGGCTGGCGGTAATTAGCAATGATAGCTGTGATTTGCATGAGCTTTATTGCTGATGCATTTGATATGCCAAACAAAAGATATAATTATGACCATGGGCTATAGATTTAGAGCGGGTCGCGCAAATTGGTTGAGAATGTGACAAATACATGTGAAAAGCCGCAATGCAGCGAGCACAGTGCGAGCACGAACAGCTACCTCTCATTCAATTATTAATGCAATCAAATTTGAGTTTAAATAATGTGCTTCATAGTACACTCTTTTCCTCTCGCTCATATCAAAGAATGCAAAGACCACAGCGCAGGAATGCACAAACATTGTTGCAAAACACTTGACCTCTACTCTAAGCGCATTTCCCACCTACTCCTTATTCTACCTTGCAGCAATGTGCAAACAAATAAAACAATCGTGCGTTTAATTAGAAAACCTGCCATAATTGTCTGCCTTATTAGGAGCTATCAAGCATTTCCCACCTACTTCTTCATTCTATCTTCCACGAATAAAGCAATAGTGCGTTTAATTTGAAACCCCGTCATAATTGTCTCCCTAATTAAGAGCTATCATAGGATTGCTTTGGGCTTACAGTTGCAGTTTTTGAATTAGAAACCCGTGTAAAGCAGTGTAGAAAATAGTGCTTGCTGCTCGACAAATCATTTTAGTTAGGAGTGTCCACTTGCGTCGTTAGTCACAAACTTTGTCTTTATTTACCGTCATTATAACTATTTTACTTTGAACTTTTTCCAACTCTGTTCCATTTATTGAGAAATGGAATCAATCAGATTGTTCTTTATTGCACTTCACATATATTTTGTTCGACTTTATTGTGATCGACCTGCAATTCGAGTTAACTCGCCGCTCGGCAAATAATTGCACTTCAAAGTGCGCCCTGAAATGTAGGCAACAGAAAATGTTCGTTGCAGCAATTTGTACGCTCGGCTTTGTTGCTATTAGGCGTGACCTTTTCTCCTGCAGCGCCAGCTAAATCAGTCATCACACGCACACACTCACACACACACACGCACACACACAGGCACACACAAATACAATTAAAAATCGCATTAATTAAATATTTCAAAAGCAAAAGTTTTGCCATTTCTTTAGCTTCTACGCGAATGCTCAACGTTTTCTAGTCGCTGTTGCTGTTGCTGTTGTTGTTGGCCTTTGTTTCCCGCACAACATCAGCAACAACAACAACAACAACAACAGAAGCAGCAGCAGCAGCAACAACAACAGCTACAGACTTCTCTTCGGTAAAAACTTTTGCAACTTTTTCTGCAATGCGTCGCCTTCTTGTTCTTGTTCTTCTTCTTCTGCTTTGGCCATATAATAATGGCGGCGACTGCGGCAATGGCCATCGTTATATTTAATGCGCCTAACGCATCCCACAACGATTCGAACTGGGGGCAGTACGGGGTGCGAGGTGGGGCTGTCTTCCTGTATAGAGCTTAACTTATGCTTTGCTCAATTGTTTGTTCGCTGGTAACGAAGGCGTCTAAAGCAAAAATCTCAAGTTTTTCAATTTCAACAAACAATTGAGGTATTATCTGGCAATGGTCGTTCCAAAAGCAACGCGGCCTGAATTCTGGGGGTTGGCTGGCTGAGCGGGGGTGGCTCCATCCGAGGTTGAGGTTGAATGCTGTTGTTTCTGCTGTTGTATGTCTGCTTGTGCATTCCGAGCAAAAGGCAACTGCCAGCAAACGATGCCATCAAGTTCATTAAAATATTAATTTGCATATTAAAGCGAACAACAACAACAACAACAATAACAACACGAACAATATTAATAACAATAGACAACAACAGCCATTGCCGCCGTAAAATCTTCAGAAAAGAAAACTGCGCAAAACTTTGACTAATTTGCGCTTACATCTCATTTTCTTTTCTCTTTTCTCTCCCCCTCTCCCCCATCAACCTTTCACATGCTAGGTTCGATGTGCTGGTCAATGGCGGTGGTGCGGTTACCCTGCAGTTCCAACGCTCGCCCTTCCGCCCACTAACCCGGACAGTGTTCGTGCCCTGGAATCGCATCGTAGTGCTGCCCCCCGTGCAGATGCAACTGAGCGATGACGACGAGACCACCAGTCGCAACATCAAGTAAGTTTCCTAAGCTCTAGATCTCCTCGCAGACAGCTTCAATAACGACAATAACGACCTACCCTTGACCACTACTTGACAGAATTGCGCCGCTGAATCCCGCCCTGACGTTCCTCAACTCGATCCATTATCACACGGCCGACGAGGCGAACGATGCCAGCAAGGTGTGCATGGATCACGATCACGAGAAACTCAAGCCCCAGTTGATCAGCACCTGGATGCCAAATGGAGTGGGCGCCATGCCCGGCAAGCGCGTCATCTTTGCCGAAACACAGGTGAGTGGCATTTTAAGTGTTCGCCCCTCCCTCCCCCCATTCGTAATGCCATTCCTAATTAGTGGTGGTGGGAGAGGGCCTGTTTGCTTGGCATCATCTGGACGCAGCGTAGTTTTAATTAATTTAAAGTTCGCCCTAATGACATTATAACTTTGCATCTGCTGGCTAGCTGCCGGCGGTCGCAACATTAATTCTCAGCTCTCGCCTGCAAACTTTGTGCACTTGTCTGAACTGCAACTAATGGTGGAGGTGGGGGTGGAGGTGGAGGAGGGGCAGGAGGGTTGGTGCGCGCAGAAAAGCGAAAAACCTGCGAGCATAGCAACTGTTTCACATTTAATTGCACCATTTGGCTCATCAAGTGGACGGTTGTGGCAATAGCGACCTTTAAGTGCGTCCGAATGTTGTTTGCCGTATTCAACCGACACCTACAACCGACACCGCAGCACACTTTGCGCTCCTCCTGCGCATTTATGTCGTCCTTGCTAAGCCTTGGCCCAGGCTTATCATTATTTTCCTCCTTACACATTGAATTACTTTTTCATGTTTGTGGGATTCGGGTTGCTACTTAAATTATATATTTTGTCACACGCTACTCTTAATATACTTTCTCCTATTTAATGTCGGCTTGCGAACGGTCTTTCGTTGTTTCTCAGTCTTTATTCCTATTCGTTTATACTCCACTATTTCCTTACAATATTCTCTCCTTCGTTCGTTCACAGATCGTGCAAGAATCCATACAAATTCCCGGCTCGGATCTGCATCTCACCTATCAGTCATCGCAAGCCTCCGGCTACTTAAGCATTGTGCGCATGCGCCTGACCTCAGAGACCATTCCGAAGACGCTCACGCATGTGCATGTGGGTGTGGAGATCGAGGGTGCGCTGCATGTGAAGACCTACGAGGCGGATCCCAATCTCATACACACGTTCGCCTGGAACAAACGCAACGTCTATCGCCAGAAGGTGTACGGCGTGACTATCGCTCGGATTTCTGTGGGCTATCAGCATACCACATGCCAGACCCCGGTCTGGATCACGCAGACAGCCAAGCTGCAGGGCTACGATGTGGACATCTCCGATATTGGCGGCTGGGGTCTGGACATACACCACCACTATAACTTCCACGAGGGCATCCTGCAGAAGGGCGACGGCAGCACGCTCCATATGAAAGAGTATCCGCGCACCGTCAAGGTGGTCATGGGCACGGGTCTGCAACGGCCCCTCAATTGTCCCGATTACTGCAACGGTGTGGCGAAGGACGCCAAGTTGCTGACCCCCATCGCCCTGGCCACCGGCCCCGATGGCAGTCTCTATGTGGGCGACTTTAATCTGGTCCGTCGCATCACTCCCGATGGCAAGGTCTTCACCATTCTGCAGCTCAGCGCTACGCAGGTCTCCTACCAATACTATCTAGCCGTTTCACCGGCAGACGGACATTTGTACATCTCTGATCCGGAGCGGCATCAGATTTTGCGTCTACTGCGCCTAGAGAAGGTAAAAGATCCGAGCATTAACAGCGAGCCTGTTGTGGGCAGCGGCCAGCGTTGCATACCCGGCGATGAGGGCAACTGTGGCGATGGAGGCCCAGCTCTCCAGGCACGTCTCTCCCATCCCAAAGGTCTGGCCATAGCTGCGGATCGAACCATGTACATTGCCGATGGCACAAATATACGTGCCGTCGATCCCAAAGGTGTCATTCACACGCTGATCGGCCACCATGGCCATCACAATCACTGGAGTCCGGCGCCCTGCACCGGCACTCTTATGGCCAACCAGGCGCAGCTTCAGTGGCCCACCGGACTGGCGCTCAGTCCACTCGACGGCTCGCTACACTTTATCGACGATCGACTAGTGCTGCGGCTAACCTCGGATATGAAGATTCGAGTCGTGGCAGGCACGCCCCTGCACTGCAACAATAACGGACAGGACAGCCGCGTGAACAAGACAGCCGCAGACAATGTGCTCGGCACTGTCCTGGCCATGGCCTTCTCACCCTTCGGAGACCTCTACATAGCGGATAGTGACTCGCGACGCGTAAACTCGATACGGGTCGTCGATACGGCCGGCAACATGCGCTACTTTGCTGGAAAGCAAGAAGGCACAGGGTAAGTAGAATATAAACCTATATACTTAATTGGCAACGAGAGTGAATGCTCGAATGGATATGTTGAGAAGTGCTCGTAAAATGAAGAGTGTGCCAGCTGAGTGTTCAGAGCGAGAGAGATAGAAACCATATGGTAAATAAATATCATAAGTAGCACTATTTGAACCTTTTACGCTGCGTTATATTTATCCGTCGGGGCTTTACTTAAAAACCAAGCTAGACATTGTTGAGTGAATTAAGTTAATTACAATTGACAATATTTTCTATGTTCTTGTTAAATTAAATTGTTCACTAATCGTCCGTCTCTTATCGCTGGTCAATCTTAATTAATTCATGCTTATCTGTTATCGATTACTATCGGTTATTAATCATTGTCACTACTTAACTATTCGATCATTATTCGGTCACTGCTAAATTATTAACTCTTAGTGATTACTGGTTTACGTAGTCAGGGCATCCCTACAACATATGCGAGTATATTTCTTGGAATCATACTGACATTTTTGGGCAGGTGCTGCCTGAATATGAAACGATGACTGTTCCTCCTATCTCGAGCGACCATTCGAGCTTCGTCCTGTCGCAGGCCAGCAATGTGTGTTCTTCCTCAATTAGAAGACGTCGGTTAGATTTAAGGAGCACCTATTTGCATTTCATTTCATCGGCATTCCTGTAGGATCCCCATGCCTGCATGCGTGTGCTTGTGTGCTTTAACCCAACCCGGCCTGGGGTCAAGTCAATGTGTAGCTCCGCACGCTGGCAGTATAGTCGCTATTTATGGTCATACGCCTGTCTGTATATGCCATTCTTTGGTGCCATGGGAAGGCGGAACATATTGGCAAACATTACTTGGCTTAGTTGTGGTCCGATTGCAGTTGTTGTTGTTGTTGTTGTTGTTGTTGTTGTTGTTGTTGTTGTTGTTGTTGTTGTTGACGTTGTCGAAGCTGCTGTTGTTGTTGTTGGTTAAGCGCATACTTGACCCAATTAAGTTAACTGGGGGCTATTTGCATTTTGAAATCTATATCAGCCAATTTTTGAAATGTCTCGCTCGCAATCTCTCTATTCGTATGCGTGTGAGTGTGTGTGTGTGTGTGTGAGTGTGTGTGTGTGGGTGTGGGTGTTGGCTCTATAAACACAAACTCAAACACACACTCGGCCAGTTCGGGCAGTTTTGAGGCCGGCCAACGCATAAATAATAAAAATTCAGCAACAGCAGCACAAAATTTGCAATGCACCAAAACGGCTATAAATGTCAATGTACGTACTATACGCATGTGTATAGTATGTGTATGTATGTGTGTCTGTGTGTGTGTGGGTATGTGTGTGGATTGCCTACCCATGTACATACATACTTGTACATACTCGTGCATGGCGCCATTCGATTTTTAGTTCACTTTGTTTGACTCTATTAACCCGTTTTTAAAGCACGAAACGGTAACCAAAAATTAATTGGGAATTTTTTGTACTCCGATTTTATAGGCTGTGATATGTGAGTGTGAGTGTGTGTGTGTGTGTGTGTGAGTGTGTATTATGTGCATCAGGGGACACTGCAGCCATATGCATTTTGCGTTGATTAAAGCGGGATATACTTGTATAGTAGTCACGACCTGATGGTGAAACATTGAGCTGACCAGAGAGCCAGAAATACCAAATATTGACGAAATTGGAAATATATATGTAACTGAACATAAGGTGATAAAACCCTAGATAAGTGCTAGTCCCTAGCAAATATAACTCCAACACAGCAATTCGGAGACCACGAGAGAGAAAATTGTCTCTCAAATAGCTATGGAATTGAAATACTCATGAATTTCTTCCTTGGCATATAATTCCTGTTGTTCAGATTATCTGCGAAAGTTCAAGAAATCAGTCTTTTCAAGTGTCCTCCAACTATTCCTCAGTTGGCTGGCGAACCACAATCGGGTGTCCACATCAACTTTATGTTTTAATAATTGACAGCAGCCATTTATTCAATTCCCAAGATCATTTAATTTGTAGGTGCTTGCTAATATAAATACAAGTAATGCCACCTCTTCATGACTTCCTGCCTCGAAAGAGCGCCTGCTGTGAGATCGGCTATGCCAGCCTCCCTCTTTAATCTCGGGCAAAAACAGGACCAGAGAGAGAGCCCACAATTAACATTGCAAAATATTGCACTGAACCAATTAATTTGAGTGAGCGTTGGCTTAAAGGGATGTCCAGGCATAAATGCTTAAGCGAAACTCACCAAAATGTACTCTCTCCCCCCCTCCCCCAAGCCCCCCTTTTGTTTCCTTGTCGGAGCGAACCTCATGCGGTGGGGCTGTGCCATGATTTGGTTAGTTGGATGGTCGCTCGTTTGGTTGGCGGCAGTTTATTCAAGCGCAATGTGAATTTATTTAAGCTAATAGAATTTCAGGCGCTTATTTAGATGGCTGGCAGGATGAGCGGACAGGCGGTTGTTGTTGTTGGCCATGTGAAAGGCGCAGGTGCTGCCAATGTCAGGACAAAGATGTAAGCGCGTCGACTTTGCTGTGAACAAGGACGAGGGTGAAGGTGAGGGGCAGAGGGGCAGAGGGACGCGGTGTGAGAGGCGAGGTGATACGCAAACGGGCGTATTCTGTGGGCGTTGGGCCGACGTGCAAAGTAATTAGCGCCCGCCAGAGACAGAAACTATAAATCAACTTTTTTATTTGGCGCGACTGCTGTTCATAGCCACTGTTGTTATTATTGTTGTTGCTGTTGTTGTTGTGTATAGCTGTAGCTGTTTTTGTTGTTCCTGGTATTCTTTTGTGGGCGTGTCTCCGCCAGCAGCGATAAGCTGGCAAAGGACTGCGTCTATATGGGTCTTATTGTTGTAAAGAGTTGTGCATGCACTGTGAGAAAAATCGACATCAGTTTAGTGATAGTGTGGACTCAGGCCTTTAACTGCTTCAGCTACTAAATTACTGAATACTGGACCTTTTGTTAAACTGAATCGAAGCTGGAATGATGGATTATAATGAAGTTATATTAACTGACGATCTCAAACAATCTTAAGAAAAAGGCTTACACATATCCTTAGTTGCTGCTCGTTTCGCTAAGGCTGCTGCTTTTCTCTCAGTGTATGTGGGTCCTGGGGTGCTTGGACAGGCGAACGACCACTTTACTTTAGAATGTTTATCGAACAAACAATGTCATCATCATCATCATCATCATAAATGCGCCCGCGCAATGCACAAAAAGCAAAGAAGCCGACTTGGCTTTGGCCAGGGTGTGGCCGCTGCCACAATAGTGTGGCATGGCGGGCATGGTGAAATGGAGTGGGCTCCAAGCGGGTGGGGCAGACATGTAAGCGATGCCATCAGGCGCCATAGATTACAGCAAACGAATGAGGGAATGAATGAATGAATGAATGAATGCGAGCTGGCCAAGAGCTTTTCCTGTTGCAGTTTTTGCAAAGCCAACTAATGTCTCCACACCTCATAACCCCCCTATTACTATCTCTCATTATCTCTCTCTCTTTCTCCCTCTCTCTCTCTCTCTCTCTGCTTATTGCAGCTCTCAAACATGCGACTGTGCGATTGGAAATGGCAGCAACGGCTCCAGCTCCACGGGCATGGGCATCGCAAATGGCGGCGCCTACTCAACGACCGTGAATCCGACACGCAATAATGGCGGCACCACGCCAACGACACCAGCTGGCGGAAACGGAAATAATGGCAGTGCAGCCACCAACAGCGGCATCGGCGGCGGTGGCGGTCCTGGCAGCGGCGCTTGCGTCTGCCCTGGCCTCAATGGCAACGGCCTCGGCACTGGCACACTGGCCAGCATCGTAGCTGGCGGCAATCTCATGTCAACTGGACCCACAACCACCACCACTGTGCTGCTGGGCGCCAAGACAACAGCTGCGGCCGCGGGTGGTGCTGTAGGCGCCGGCGGTGCGGGTGCCACCCTTAACGATGACGGCACGCTGAGCAATGCGGAAACTCTGCTCTCGTCTAATGCACGGTTCCAGGCGATTTCGGCAATAGCAGTTGCCCAGGATGGTGTCATTAATGTGGCCGATCAAGGTAAGTGCTCAGAAATTAGTTACATAGTTGTAGATACACTTTAGAGCTAGAGATGTACTAAAGCGGGAAATGAAACATATCAGAGGCAATCGCCAGAGTGCTGCTGTAGGGACATGGAAATCCCGAAAGAGAGACATTTTCGAAATCTGAAGACGCAGAAGTGATTTAGAAATAATGTTTGTGTGATATGGGGAGCAAGTCATAATTTTCGATTTATCCAAAAACAAATGCTTTTTCCACCAGCTCTTACAAGCGTTTAATTATAATTATATACCATATTGAATTCTTGACCAAAGTTGGAGCGGTTGACTCTGAAACTATTCTCCACAAAATTTAAAATGTTTGAAATGGCTTGACACTGACAGGATTGCTAATTTTTAGGGTTAAGGCTCAGCGCACCTCTTTAGTTGTATATCCCTGAAATATTTATTTATTTAGGCTAAGCTAAAATGTCGGAAGGAGAATAAAAGTTTTAGAAACGTTCAACTATGAAGCACAAGCGAAATATTATGAAGCCATGAGGCTTTAAGCAACATCCTGTTATTTCTATAGAACCTTATAGCTGTCTGTGCTTCGTGGCAACACTATATCAAGAACACATAATACAAATACACGTATATGTCTGTAGTTTTTATGCCATGAAGATTTTTTTTTTTGTTTCCAAAGACTAGGTGTTACTTTTTCGAAGGTTGTTTGCTTGCTCGGAAAACGTTTACAGTTTGGGGTCAAAGGAAATTGAGAATGAATGCGAACAAGAGCTTAAATGGTAGGCTTTAAGGCTATGCCAACACAATTTCAATCAAAATTTAACAGAACACACCCAAACACTTGCTCGCACCCATCCTCCCGAACACCCATATGGTGTATGTACTCGTATGTGCGCTCATTTCCGCCTGCAATTTTTGTTGCTAACAAGCGGCACAAAAAGCGAACGAGAAAGAAAATGAAAATTCTGAAATACAGAAACAGAACAGAACAGAACCGAACAGAAAAATGTTAACTGCTAACATGAAGCGGAAGTTCAGTTGCGACATATTGCAAAACACAAAACGCAATGGCAGTAGCAGTAGCAGTAGCAAAGGCAGTAGCAATGGCGACAGCAACAACAACACCAGCAACATCAACAACACTAATAATAACAATAATAATAGTAATACATAATGCCAACAAAAGCTGTACGGCTGCTTCAGGAATAAAGAATAGAGAAACCAATTTCCGTCACATGTCTAAAGACGAAACTGATGACGGCGACAAAGAGGACGACGATGGCGACGACAAATTAGATGCCACACACACAGACTCATATGTTTGTCAGGTGGAAGGCAGCCAAAACAAAATGGCCGCCTTTGAGTTACATAGCAGGTTGTTAGAAAAAACAAAAAGCCCAAGCAAATGCAAAGAAAACAAAAGACGCACAAACACAACAATAATGATAACAACAACAACAACAACAGCAACAACAACAACAACAAGAGCACAATGGAAGGTATAAATTTGAGTGCATTAGCAGACCGTAATTTGATAAGACCGAAATGTAATTAATAAATTTCGACAATGGGCACAACGCAGCCCGATGCCGGGGAAGACGAGCCCAGTCCGTGCACCGGCAGATTAGTCAGAGGGGAGGACTAACGATGAGACGTTGAAAGAGAGACGGTATTGCTGACAGACGAGCTCCGAAGCGCTAACGATGCGCTGTTGCTGTCGCTGTCGAAGTCGCTCCTGACGCTGACGCTGACGCTGACGCTTACATCGCAGTCGATGGAATGGCAGAGAAATTAATGAACGGCAACGCAGGCTGTGGCAAGTGGCAAATCAATGGCTATAATTAATCAAGTTTTAGTATTTGCCGTGCAGCGCCAAAAAGTATGCAACGCATTGCCTGTTAGCCTGCCGCCCCGCCTCCCTGACTGCCTGACTGCCTGACTGATTGGAAGAAGCAGAAGCAGAACAGGCGAACAACACACCACCAGAGCTGATGCTGGTATTTGTGTGTCTGCATGTGTGTTTGTAAAAGCGAAAAAGTGAAAATCAATCTTATTACCTTCGCGAATGGCCAAAGGCAGAGCAAGGCAAGCCGTGCCTCTACCTCTATCTCTCCTCCTCCTCCTCCGCCGACACTTCACACCACTCATCCCTTCGTTGCGCCACGAAGACGCATTAATCAACGCAGGCTGCGGCTGCTGAATGTGTGTCAGTGTGTGTGTCAATGTGAGTGTGTGTGTGTGTGTGTACGTGTGTCTGTGTCATGTCAGGTCTCAGTTCTGGGCTTGGCTTGGGTTTGAAGTTGAGGGCTGAGTAGCCGCCGTTGCCACCAAGCAAACGTAAATAAGCTTCATTAAAAGCTTACGGCTTAAGTGGCGTTGTGTTTTGCACATTTGAAAGCTACACACACACACTGACATACACACACACACACACACACACGTACGTTGAAGGACATGTCAGTGAGGGGTGCGGGCGCCGGTGCGACTGCTGGCGTCGAGTGTGTGAAAAATTGTTGCATTAATTGCACAGCCCCTGCGAATGGGCGCAGACCGAGGAGGAAAGCATCAAGTAGGGGAGGGAGGGGCGGTGTGGCAGTGTGAAAAAGTTGGAGGGAGAGGGAGCAAGTGGTGCTGCGGCAGATGCGAGCAAAGAAAACCTCGGTCAAGTGGCTAATGCAGTCAAAGGACAACCGTAGCAGCGTTTAACTAACAGAAGGAGTAGGAAGAGCAACTAACTCGTGCTCTGAATAGAGGACAAAGGAGCGGAAATTAGCAGAGCATAGGAATCATTAGACAAATGTCTGTTTATATTACCGCCATATACGCGTCTGTGTATGTTTGGCTCGTGTAATGGAACGAATAGCAGCCTCTACTTCACTTTCACTTCCAGCTGTCACTGAGCAGCTATTGACTGTGAAAAGTCCTTAAAGTATAAATAGAAATTGTCATTTAGGTCGCTGTGATATTAAAACAACATGAGTTGGGAACTCACAGCCAGCTGCTAGCTACAAATAATGGCGATATACTTTCGGTCCATCACAAATGTACATATACACTATTTTACTGGGAATTAATTATATGCCCATGTCTTACAATTACAAAACAGACTACTTAAATGTTGAATGAAAATTCAACACGTTTTCTAAGCCCATTAATTACAACAAGTCCTGCCTTTAAACAGTTGCAATTGTTGTTTAGGATCTCAAGCGATATTCCAGAGCTTACAACGTTCTTTTTTTTTTCAAGAAATAAATATACAAATATTTGCTGTTAGCTGGAGTTCAAAACTTTTGCATAAACATATAGAAGAGAGAATAAAATTTCTCACATTTATTTCAATTAAATTTGAGCTTTTTAAATATAATTATATCTCTGCATAAATTTGGCCGAGATGAGTTGTGCCCCATTAGGGCAAGAGAGTTGCGATTGCGATTAAATTTAAAGTGGGCCAAGCGTTATGGGGCAGAACAATGGCAGGAACAGGCACCGCATCAGTGCGTGCCACATAAAGCGCAAGCAACTAACACTTGCCACACACACACACACACACACACACACACACACACACACTGCGATACACTCACACACACAATAACAACCCTTTGCGACAAACAAGTTGTTCAGTTTATGGGGTCATTACCATCACATTATAGTCCACATACACACATATCTCTACGTGTATGTGTGTGTGTGTGTGTATACACACGCCTTTGCACTCAAACCGAGCGTCACATTTATTGCATTGAAATTCGCTCAATCGCCCGATGCGGACGACGCTGCCGCCATCGCTGTTGTTGTTGTTGTTGTTGCTGGCACTGGCATTGGCTTTGCTGCCCCCGCAGCCGATGCCGATGCCGCCACCGACGCCACTTTTGGCGCTGTGCCAATGCCCTCGACCCCGTGACTTAACCCCACTTCTGCCGCCTCTGAGCTACGAGCCCGCCCCACTGCCAGTCGGTCGCTCCATGAACCGAAAACCTAACCGAAACTCAACTCTAAAACGAGACCATAATGTCCTGGCACCGGGTAAATGAACTGTAACGCAATCAAATCAACACTGCGAATGAACGGCCAACTGCCAACAACAACAACAAGAACATGAACAACAATAACAATAACGACAACAGCAGCAGCAACAGGAATAACAAATACACCCACAAGTATAGCAACAATAAGAGCAACTACAGTTGCTATTAAATATTTTATTGTCATATGCAAGGCGCATACAATGTCTGGTGTGCGTGTGCGTGTGCGTGTGAGTGCGCCCTTTTCTCTGTGTGTGTGTGTGTGTGTGTGTGTGTGTGTGTGTGTACGACAGCGCTGCCTTTACCATAATCGAACTAGATTCATTACTTTTTTTTAAATTTTAAAACTCTACATTTACTTCGTTTCATTTGAACAGATCTTCTTTATACCTACGAACTATAGTCTCTTGTAGATTCTTTAATTGTCCTGGAAAGTGATTTCGTTTTGAGTAGATCATACTCTCTCTCTCTCTCTCCCATTTTCTTTTAAGGCATTGTTTAGTGGTTTTTAGACTATTCTGTAGCGCCGCGGAATTGATGTTTTAATAGATATTTATTTTCGCAAGAATTTCCTAAGAGTCTTATACTAACTTTTAAACATCTCTTATCTTTAAAAACTTGAATTTGGAGCTTAAGTTTACTTTGCAAATCACATCGTTAAGTGAAAATTAAGCTATATTTCTGCAGAGCATGGGAAACATATACAAGTAGTAGTTTCAGACCTTTCTTGGCGGCATCAGTACTATAGCTAGTCTAGGGGCTAGAGAACTAATTGTAATAGCTGTATTGCTTTCAAATTATTTCCGTAAATACTTAAGTGGGGAAATAGCATCGCCTGCTTCGCTCTTTCGCTCACATTCCAAATAATATCGACCTGCTGCTTGTGTCTCTGACGAACCACAAGAAGAACGAGTTCCGAAAGTAGAACCAACCGCACTGCTGAAGAGTGCGTCTTTTTGGACGATGCGCCAAATACATAATCGCTTGAAATGTATGCATAATTGTTGCCACCATTGTGGGAGTGAGGGAGCGTGCGTGTGTATGTGTTGTCCGACTGCCAAATGTGACTCAGAGAGGATGAGGAGGATGGGGAGGATGGGGAGGATGAGGAGGAGCAGAAAGAGGAGGCTAACGCATTTTGTATTGGCCTCATTATGTGCAGCACAATCTGCTGTTCCAAGGTGCAATTAGTGTGAGAGTCGCCGCCTTCCATGCCTTGCCTCCCGCTCTCTGCTGCGCTAATCCACTATCTTGCTAGTCGTTCCTTATGCAAGTGGAAAGGAGAAGAAGACAAGGAGTGAGAAAAAAATAAAGAGTACTTGCTGCCTGCTTGCCATGCAAAGCCAGCGAGCAAGCAAATTTATGCAAATCCGAAGCGATTTTCAACACTAACTAAAATGAAACGCTGCGCAAACAACAGCAGCTACAACAACAACAACAACAGCAACAACGACAACAATATCACCAGCAGCAGCAACAATGACTTGAATAGTGCACTTAAAAGCAACAATAACAATAACAATAACAACAACAACAACAATAATAGCAGCAACAACAATGTTAACAGCAGCGTGCAAATTGCACAAAAAATATTTAAGACGTCGGCATTTTGTTTTAGCTTAAGACGTTTTATAGCGAGACGATGGCTAGCAGCCTAAAGCAGAGAGTAATGGACGAGAGAGAGAGAGAGAGAGGGAGAGATGAAGAGAGAGAAAGAGAGCAGCAGCTGCTGATGAAGTACAGTTTGATATATGAGTGTGGCAGGATGTGGCAGGACAAAATGAGATGGCAACTGAAGCAAATGAAGTTCAGTGGAACTGTCCTCAATTTCGTTAATGCATTTCAATTCACCCGGAGCCCCTGTAGATTGGGAGAGTGAGCAGGAAAGAGAGGGAAGGGAGGAGGGAAAGGGAAGGCTAGCGGACTAGGTGAGATGCTATAAAAAGTTAGCAGAACATGGATATTGTCTGTGAAGGCTTTTCATCGCACAATCGAATCGCATCGCACACTTTATGGGGGCCACAGTATTTTGTCTTTGAAAATATATCGAAATATTGAAAAACCCGAGGCACATAAAGGGACTTATTTTATTTTATTTGAGCCCAGACGACTCAACTTAACCCATTACCTGCTTTCTATTCTCCCTGCAGGTTCTCTGCACGTGCTGGCTCTGGAGCATTATCTGCCTTCACACGATGAGAATGGCGAATTCCATATACCCTTCCCACCGTCGAGCGAGATCTATGTATTCAACCGGTATGGACAACACGTGGCCACCAAGGACTTGACCTCGGGCAAGACACGATACAGCTTCCTCTACTCGAAGAACACCAGCTTTGGGCGGCTGTCGACGGTAACCGATGCGTCGGGCAACAAGATTCAATTCCTGCGCGACTACAGCAACGTGGTGAGTTCTATTGAGAACACCCAGGACCACAAGTCGGACATTCAGATCAACGGCATTGGCATCATGACCAAGCTGAGTGAGAAGGGCAGACAGGAGATCGAACTGGACTACGATAGCAACACGGGCTTACTGAATTCGAGATCTTCCGGTGGCGAAACGTACATCTACCAGTACGACGAGTTCGGACGCGTCACTGGCATGATCCTGCCGAGCGGCGAAATCGTGCGCATCACCTCACAACTGGCGGACAATAAGGGTCTCACAGTCTATGTACATGCGTCCGTGGAATCGCTATTCTCTCGTGAACGGGCCGGTGGCAGCGACGCCAATGAGCTGCTCGTTCTCGGTGGCGTGCGTTCGACGTTCCTGAAACGCGGACGCGCTCACGCCGATGCTGAGTTGAAAGCAAACAACACTCTGGTCATACATGGAGCCAATGGAGTGGTGGTGGAGGCATCCGCCGTGGCTCGCCACCCGCTGCTAGAGGCGGCGCTGCCCGTCGAGGCTGAGATGCTGGCCATGTGGTCGCACCAAAGCGTTACCATGGGCGATGGTCTAACCAATAGCATGTACTCTGTCTACAATCTAGTCGGGGATGTGCGCAACCCCCAACAGACGCTGAATCGCGAGATCTGGGTGAATCAGTCGCGTGTCATTGGCGTGGAGTTCGATCAGTTCACCAACCGTGAGACGTTCTACGATGCCGTACGCACCCCTATCCTGATCGTAGCCTACGATCAGTCCGGTCTACCCAAATCCTACTACCCCACTAACGGCTATCCGGTGAACATCACCTACGACCGCTTCAATCGCGTCGAGGGCTGGGCTTGGGGACCTGCTGAGCTCAAATACTCGTACGACCGCCACGGTCTGCTCTCGGAGATCACTTCGCAGCAGGACGGCATTATTTCATTTGTGTACAACGACTGGAACTTGGTGTCGGAGATCGGTCTGGCCAGCCAGCGCAAGTTTGTGCTGCAATACGACGAGGCAGGAGGTCTACGCCATGTGCTCCTGCCTTCGGGCACACGCCACAGCTTCAGCATGCAGACGTCAATTGGCTTCATACGTTGCACCTACACCCCACCGGGCAGCACTCGCGCCTACCTTCAACACTATAGCCACGCCGGCGCTCTTTTGCAGACCATCTTGCCCGGCGATGGGGCTCGCATTGTGTATCGCTACAATGCCGCAGGCCAACTTACGGAGGTAGTCCACGGAGACGGTCGCAGCGAGTTCCAGTACAATGAGGCTACTGGCATGCCAAGCTATGTTTCTCATGCGGAACGCGAGCTCGAATACCGCTGGGACTTTGAGTATGCGGCCGGTCTACTGACGGAGGAGCGCATCGACTATGTGGCCAAGACGGGTCTGAGCAACGCCAAGTTCAGCTACGAGTATGACAGTAAGCTGCGCGTGGTGGCCCTCCAGGGACGAATTGGCGGCCAGAGTCTGCCCACTCAGGCGTATGCCTACGATCCGCGCACCGGACAACCCAGTCTCATTGGACAATTTAAGTTCACGCGACCAGCGCTCAATCAAACTCAACTGCACGACGGCACGGCGAGCTTCACGCGCACCGTCGACGGACGCTTCCAAACGCAGCGCATGGCTCTGGCAATTCACCGTCTAGAGGTCTTCCGCATGGAGTTCTCGTACGGGGTGCACGGACGCATCTCTCAGACGCGCACCTACACCCGCAACATGGCCGTGAACAGCTACACGAATGTGAAGAACTACACCTGGGATTGCGATGGCCAGCTCGTGGGAGTGGAGGCCCAAGAACCCTGGGGATTCCGCTACGATGACAACGGCAATTTGCTCTCGCTCACCTATCGGGGCAATACGATACCCATGGAGTACAATGCCCAGGACCGCATCGTTAAGTTCGGTGAGGGCCAGTACAAGTACGATGCTCGCGGGTTGGTCGCACAGAATGCGCGTGAAGAGCGTTTCCACTACAACACTCAAGGACTACTGGTGCGAGCCTCGAAGCGCGGTCGTTTCGATGTGCGCTACTACTACGACCATCTGAAACGGCTGACGACGCGCAAGGACAACTTCGGCAATGTTACGCAATTCTTTTACACGAACCAACAGCGCCCATACGAGGTCTCCCAGATCTACTCGCCGCGTGATGGCAAGCTCATGTCGTTGACATACGACGATGTGGGCCACCTGATATATGCGCAAGTCTATCGGCACAAGTACTACGTGGCCACGGATCAGAGTGGCACGCCTCTGATGCTCTTCAATCAGTATGGTGAGGGTATACGCGAGATCATGCGCTCTCCCTACGGCCACATTGTGTACGACTCGAATCCGTATCTGTATTTACCCATCGATTTCTGTGGCGGCATTCTGGATCAGGTGACCACGTTGGTCCACATGGGCGATGGACGAGTCTACGACCCACTGATTGGCCAGTGGATGTCGCCAGACTGGCAGCGCGTGGCAGAGCGCATCATAACACCCACGCGTCTGCATCTGTACCGCTTCAATGGCAACGATCCCATTAATGTGGGCCACGAGCGCCACTATCCCTCCAGCTTTGCAGAATGGATGCGCACCCTGGGCTATAATGTCGGCAATCTGGTTCCGCAGCTGGCCCGCAATTTGTGGCAACCACCCGCCTTGTGGGGTCGCCCGCCCGCCAACCCCATTGCGCTGAACATGCGACGACCTTTCGACAACATACCCACAATGGCCGTCGAGAGCGGTTTTCTTGCGCACCTGAATGTAAGGCGCATGTCGGACTTCGAACAGCTATCGGCGCCACCACGATCTGCTCTAAAATGCGACGTAATGGATCCCTCGCCTCGCAACATTGGCTCGGACACGGAGCCGCCATTTGGGAAAGGCATCGTCGTCTCCCGCACAGCCGATGGCCAAGCGATTGTCTCCAGTGTGCCGGCAGCCAATGCGATCTATCGCGACGTCTACACCAGCGTCTTCAACCGCAGCAAGCTGCTGCCCTTCACCTTCGTGGTACACAATGCACAGCAGGACTCATTCTTTTTCGTCAAGGAGGATGCCTGGCGAGCAAGTGAGGATCGCCAGCAGTTGAAGCGATTGCAGGGGCAGGTCAACACCACGTTCCATGAAATAACACGTGAGTCAACGCCGTCCGGTGGCTCCGCTGCGTCGTCTACATCGTCCAGCGGTGGTGGCGGCGGTGGAAACTATCTAGATGTGAAGATCCATGGCGCCCATGCGATCATCAATCTACGATATGGAACAACAGTGGCCAAGGAACAGCAGCGTCTGATGCATCACGCCAAATTGACGGCGGTACGGAAGGCGTGGCATCGGGAGAAAGAGGCCCTGCGCAGCGGTCTCACCACAACCCTCGAATGGACGCAGCAAGAGAGCGACGAGATTCTCAAGCAGAGCTACGCCAACAACTATGAGGGTGAGTACATACACGATGTGGCCCTATATCCGGAACTGGCCGAGGATCCCTACAACATCAAGTTCGTGAAGAAGAAGGGGGCAACCGGTGGTGCCGCGGGTGTCCCCAATGCCCGCAGGCGCCGCAGTTCGACGCTCGACTTCACCGATTCGAATGAGGGGGCAGCGACGTCTGCGGCCGTTGCCTGTTAGCTCTTAGTCCTTAACTGAACGTAGTACGTAATGCTCTAAACCTAACTATAAATTAAAGTATCAAACTATATGACAGAATACGATTATAGGACTTCGGTCTAGCTGCAAGCTGCGTAACTGTACCAAAAAGCGTCAAGCAACCGAATAACGGTTAGCGGCCGGCTGTACGCAACTGTACTAAATAATTATAGGAAAGGAATGTTCGTTTTTTTTTCTCTTGAAACTCAACAGGATAATGTGTATGTGTTTTTTTTTAGTGTTAGTGTTTAGTGGTGGCAAAGCATACCCATATTTAGTGCTACAAAATGATGTGCTATAAAAATACTTGATCTAATGATATGAAGAAGGAGGAGGAGGAGGTGGAGGAGGTGGAGGAGGAGGAGGACAGCAGGGAGGAGAGCGACACAAACGCGCAGGCTTATTGTGTTTTGTGTGTGTCTCGTACACATGTGCATGTGTGTATATGCTTTGTGTGTGTGTATACACTCTCACAAACACACACACACACACACACACACATGCACATGCATAAGTGTTGTCACAAGCGATATTCTATAAATACTATATATACATATACACAAAGAATTAAATATAGAGAGAGAAAGTAGTTATATGGTACGGTAGTTATATACTTACCTACATACATATACGCCTAAATGTACATGCATATTCACAAGAACAAAAACAAAAACAAAAACAACAGCAACAATAAGATGAAGAAGAAGAAGAAGAGGATATGAGAGATAAAAGAGAAGTAGGCGAACAGCGGAAGAAGCGGCAGCAGCAGATAAGGAAGCGGCAGCTGCGCCGGAAGTAGAACAGAAAAAAAAAACAAAACTTTTTTTTTGTGGTACTCGAGCTTTTTGAGACTGGCATAGTTTTAAACAACAAAAACAACAACAACAGCACAGATGAACTCACTAAAACACACACACACACAGACATACAGACACACGCACACAAAACACGTTTGCAAGCTAAAAACAAACAAAAACTGTAGCATAAGCTGAGGCGCCAAATTGCAATTGTGTGCGCCTCATAGTCATAACACAACAAACAACAAACAACAAACAACAAACGAGGCACACATGGCAAGCGGCATCAACATACAGTACATGCATACCTATATATTCATATATGTAAAGTTATAGATATATGTATACATAGATAAATATGCTATATGTGTGTGTGTAGACCATGTGCATGCCAAGCAGCTATAAATGTGTATATATACGAAAAATAAAAATGAAAGCGATAAAAATAGAATGCAAGCATAGTTCTAGGGGCATGCTATGCCAAGTTTAGACCAAACACTCCCACACATACACACACACACACACACACACACATTTAAACAACCAAACACCCACTCTTGCACATGCTAAGAAAATATATAGCTAACTATATATTCTATATACATATAGATAACGTACTATATATACGCCATAATCGTAAACAGACGCCGCCAAGCTAGCAGAACAGGCCAAGCAAATTGTTAATTATAAAATAAAAAGCAACAACAACAAAAGCAAAGAACGAAAACTAAATTAAATATTATTTATATACGAGTATAAGGTGAGAGGACAGAAGTGGACGGAAATGAAATGAAGAGGAGATGGAGATGGAGAAACATTAGCTTTTAGGCAATATACGAGTATATCTTATTTTTTCCAATGCGTACTCTTAAGTTCATCTTACGCCCTTTTCCTTAATTAATTTATTGAATGTGCTTGCGATTAACACTCGATATACATATATACATACACATATAAATACATATGTAATTTTTAACTAAATATATGGAGATTTTTTTTAAATATTTATAATGATTACGACGATACGAACGATAAAGTGTAAAATGTTTTGTTATTATTTGTAAGTTGGCGCTTTCGAACCAATAAATATTAAAAACTCAAATGAAAACAAGCGAAATAAAGAGGAAGAATCAATAAAGCTTAAAAACAGTATTAAAACAAATCTGTACATGACACAAATGTCAAACACTTTTTGTTTGTTTGTTTCGTGTTACTGCAAATTAATATTATTATTTTTATTTAAGTCCAGCCTAGTACTCAGCTGTCGAGAGATGAATGCAAAAATAATTAAGATTCCTGTGAATTGGAAAAGCCGTGAGCTCCTGCTCAGATAATCGATTGCTCACCTGAACAGAAGGGCTGAGCTGAGAGTGCGCTGAGTATTGGGTTGGGGCTTTATTCAGTTTACAGCATCAGCATCAGCATCAACATCAGCATCATATTGGCATAAATCCTTTAATAGCTTGCACAAAACCGAGACAGCATTTTGTTTGCGACATTCCTTGGCAACACAGTTTTTGTTTGGCTTGAAAAGTGCATCATCATTCATTATTCAAGTTCAGTTGCTTGGTTGTGTTGGCATTTGCTGTTCATTCATTCACATCTTTCGATATCCTTTGCTCTGGGCCCCCCACCCCCCGTACAGCCCACACGTTCATGTTTTCCGTCCAATTCATAAATAATTGCCAATGGTGTGAACCGCCCGCCCGGTATTTCCAAACTTACAAGTTCTTCGTTTTTGTTCGCCTTTGCTTGTGCGTGCCGTGCCAATGGTTTTAGGAATTAAAACGGAAAATGAATAAAATGCGAGCAAAAATAATAATAATTAACGCTACGATGCATTTTGATTACAATTATTATTTAATGAATTGGTGCTTATCGAATTTATTGCAAAAAACAAAAAAAAAAAAACAAAAACAACAAAAAGGAGCATATGTGTATTTGAATATGAAATAAACTAAAATTAGTTAATGATAGTTACGTCTAGTAATACCAAGAAGTCCCATTTTTTTGTTGTTAGTTCCCTTAGCAACTAAGTTAATGCAGAATAAAGAGAGATAGAGAGAGAGAGAGAGAGAGAGCAGATCTAGAGACGACACGGCCTAGCACTACTCGTAAATATGTATGAGAAAACCAAATTGCTGAATTAGTTCGAGGCAGGGGAGAATTTTTTAAAAATTGAGACATAAATCGTTAAGAGCAAAAATATGAAAACAAAATAATATGAATAGAAACGTGGCCAAAAGGATAAAAACCAAACACTACCAAAAATTACAAAGCGTTCCACAAAGCGGGCCCATCACCAACCGATGTCATCGGCTGAGGCTCAGAACACACTTGGCAGCTCTACTGAGTCTTGAAAGGCAGTTGACATGCCTCAGCTGATGCATTGGATAGTGGAGGGACTGCTTATGGAAGGGGAGACACTTTCTTTGCATTTAGCGCGCGAACAACACGGCTTACTAAGCACTTGGCTGGACTCAGCTAGCTCGCTGGATGCTGGATGCTAGATCCTAGATCCAGAGAAGCCAACTAACTAACTATAACTAATAATTTGTAATTAGCGTGCAGTAGCGATTAGAAACCACATATACGATTATATATGCAAAGCCCATACCGATACAAATACCAATACATACATAGAGACTAGTGTAAGCCAACACCAACACCAACACCACCACCACCACCACACTACCTTTGGCGTTATATCAAAAAGTCAGTCCCGCGCGAGTCTCGGCAACAAAGGAACCATATATTTGTGTAAATATGAAATATGCTTAAACTAAACCCAACTAATATAGATCTACGAGTACATATATATATATACATACTATACATGCATACTATATATATGTAGCATTGTAGCACGCCATATGCATAACGTGTGTGTATTCTTGTGGCTGTTTAACGTCTGTTTTTTTTTTCGCTCGCGCCTAAATAGTTATAAACTGTAACGACGCTGGCAGTGAATATCGTATTTTTTTTTTATTGCACTACCTTGGTCAAGCAGTGCTTCGGCTGCTTATGTACACACACTGCTTGTGTAGTTACGATTTGAATTAGCGTTATGTTTTAGCGTCAACTGCCTACGATCACATTTTTTTTTTGGCCTTAGTTAACAAGATAAACAAATTTTCTCAATTGTTTTTACTTATTTTAAAGGGAGTTAATTTTCTGCAACCGCACGGCTATCGGCCACCTATTGTTTATTTTCATTGTTGCACAGTGGCAATATTTGCGAGTTGTCAGTGGCCCTTTCTTTAACCTTGACCTGTCGAAAGGAAATTGTCAAAAGAGGTGTGAAGCAATTTCCGTAAAAGAAAGTTTTCTTGCTTGGCCTTAGCATCCGGATCTTTCTTTTTACTTCGAGATCGCCTAGAGGAAGGTTGTGCATTATCCACGCTAACGGGGTTATCAACTTTTTGGTTATACAGATTATATTTGTACCTATAACCTACAACCTAATACAGCAACGATAGTATTAACAGCGAATAAAAAAGTATATAAATTGGCGAAAACTAAATTGGAGGATTCTATTGTCGAAAGGATTTTTCTGCATGGTGCCACTTCCGGACATCGGGTAAATTTTATTTTTCTCGTTTCTTCGCATTTGGAATGCAAATTCTAATTCACATTTTTTTCGATTTACATTGTTTTCGTGCAGAATTGGCACTTAATAATTAGTCCAATCCAATAGGGCATTAACCTTTGCCTGTCGCTTTGATGCGCGCATGCTAATGCAGCGACTAGGCTAAGGGAGGGGTACGCCAGACGAAGGCGTGCCAGAGGTAAGATCGGCTTTCCGATCAGGCCACTGGAACGGCGAGAAGAACCGTCTCTGCAGTTTCGTGGGTCATATCGTCTATGACGGACGTCGCCTAATAACGGAGTGCGAGTGATTTTTTTGTGTTGTCTTCGGTGAAACCTGTGCCTGGGCAATTGGCAAAGCCCCGTTGTGTTGGTTGGAGGCCCGTGGGAAAGAAAAAGGCATAAATTAGCCTACCCCAACCTTTAAAGGCAACATTATATATATATCCACATATATATTTATATATGTGTCCAGCGCAAAAATGAACTTCTCTAGTGCGCTTATTATTCTTTAATTTTTTTTTCCCCTGTGTTAAATCCAAATTTAAATGTACATATGTGTAACCACGCGAGCAAAGCAACTCGGCATGGCGTGATGAAGTGGGAAAGAATATACCTAAGTGAAAACAAAAAAAAATAATACACAAAGCAAAATTCGTTAGCTACAAATGTGTATGTGCATGGCGACAATTTTTTTTCTGGTTTGTTTAAAAAAAAACACGTTAAAGCCCACCCAGTAAATATCGAACATAAACTTTAGTACAAAAAAATTATGCATGCAAGCAGCGGTGAGCCCACACAGCGCGTCCCCCCCGAAAGATCTTTCGACGTTGGACAAAAACTGTAAGTACAGCCGTTTTAATTTTTATTTTTCATACTTACTTGCGTGCATGCGTACGGAAGTGATCAGCTGTTCAATTGGAACACAG